GTACTTAAGTACTTAAGTACATAAACCGCAGCCTGCGAGGAATCTTTTGTCATTAGAATACATTAAGGGAAGGTGCTACGCTGCGTGGATTGCATCATCAGAGCAACTAGACGAGTGACTTCCTCGGATCTTTCTTCACATCCGACTATCTGCCAATAGAAATTCCTTCAACACAAGTCTCAGGTCGGGATCCATGTCGGTCGCATCAACCTCCGACGCACGCACCGCAGCACTCACACCCTTGCGACTCAAAATACTGTCGATGGCCTTCTTGGTGTTGTATGAAATTTGAGCAGCAAACACAACCGGGTCGGCTAATGCCAGAGGGTCATTGATGGCCAGTTTCACCTCGGGCCCAAACTTGATAAAGGCGCTTCCGCCGGGAGGAATCTTGCCCACTTTAATCAGCAAACCCAACCCGCCGCCTTCTTGCGACACACTCGTTTTGACTACTGCTTGATTTATGCGGACCTCTGGAGCTTGGGCGGGTTTATATCCCAGCAGTCGAATGCTCCAGTCTCGAGCTTTCGGCGCCTTGCCCTCCCCGGATGGATGGATTGTAATTGTTCCTGTAGACTGGGTGAATGAAATGGGCGTCCTGCGCCAAGCGACTGGTTTATCAATCGAGGCATTGCTGCGGTCTTCATCTTCTTCCAGAAGTTCGAACTTGCCATCAGCTCCGATCACGACCACAACTTCAAGGCCATCAGGGTTATCGCACCCATTTCCGGGCACCAGGTTTGCATCGAGCGGGACAATTGCCCCTTGCTTCAACAACACAGGTGCGTTGTCCAGGGTCCGATTCAGCCATAAGAACCTGTCGCCGTCATACACAACACCCGTGAAGAAGTCAATATATCGGCCCGGAGGCAGCCACGCCTTGACTTTGCCGGTTTTTGTAGCCACATTCTGTGGCGATGTAATTGGTGCAACAATCATTTCTGTACCAAAGTAATACTGGTTGGGCACTTTGTATGCCTCATCTCTATCTGGATACTCCCAGTACATGGGTTGAACCAATGGATAGCCCTCTTCTGCAGCACGAGCGTTCATGGTATGCAAGTAAGGAATCAGCCGATGCCGCAAGCGCATGAACTTGGTAATAACATCTCGAGGACCCTGTCCAGAGCCAGCAGGCAGCTTCCACGGCTCCTTGCATACCCATCGCGTCTTTGTAGAGTGTAGTCTCATAATGGGAGACAACACGCCAAGTTGGACCCAGCGCGACGTGAGGTCGTCGTCTCTAATCCCCAGCATGTGGCCACCAATATCATGACTCCACCAGCCGTAACCGATGTTGCTCGCCGTTGCTGTGAACTCGGGCTGGAAGGCCAGCGAGTCCCATGAAACGATGGTATCACCTGAAAATCCGATGGGATATCGCTGGCTTCCGGGGCCGGCATATCTCGAAAATATAATGGGTCGACCTCCATCCCCTTCGCTGGGCTTTCTCTCTGCCTGAAGTCGCTTATTGTGTAGAAAGTGAAAGTGATTCAGTAGCCACAACGGATCGAGGCCTGGAAGTCGAGAATACGGTCCCTGCTGCCAATCGATCCACCAGAAGTCAACGCCGTCGTCTTCCAGATGCTTGATTAGAATGTCGAAGTATGCCCTGAGGAATGTAGGGTCTGTGCAATCGAACGGAATCGTTTCTTTGCTGGACGCGTCAAAATTAAGGGCTTTCGCCATGGCCACATACATGTCCTCGTAGTTGGCGATGCCTTCCGCCGGATGCTCATTGAGCGAAGTCTTGAGTTTCCGGTCGTGAAGCGCCTTGATGAATGCCTTTGGATTGGGAAACAGGCTTTTATTCCAGGTGTATCCGGTCCACCCCGTCACGCCGGCGGCAGCAACGACGGGATCTTTGACTAGATGCCAGTCCATGTCTATGACGCCGACTGCGAGTGGAACACGAATACTCTTGAACATGTCGATGAGCTCCAGATAGGACTCGGCAGTGTATTCGTAGTATCGGCTCCACCAGTTTCCAAGTGTCCATCGTGGAAGGAGGGGTTGCGAGCCAGATATCTGGTAAAGAGCTTTTACTGCTTCCCGATAGTCCCGACCGTAACAGAAGAGGTAGCCGTCTACACGACCAGTTCCAGCTCGCCGCGGGGCCACGAAGCCATCCTCGGTGAAGAGCATTGTGTCAGAATCGTCGATGCTAACGAAGCCATCACGAGACGCCACCCCCGGGTCAACAGCAATTCGGCCGTCGGCTCCGTCGAGTGTTCTGCAGGTGCCTCCGAGATTCTGCCCTTGTTCTCCATAGCGCCAGGTATGACCTGTGAATCCAGAGACGACGGCAAAGAAGCCATACGGTGTGAATTCCTGCTTATTGTACGTCATGTGAAACCGAGCCGTGATGACTTCCAGCCAGGCATCCGACTCTCGCACCTGGTAGTAGAGCACGCCCTGGGGCTGTCTATGGACAGCGAATGCCGACGGGCGGTCTTCAAACTGCCCATCCGGGGCCCATTCATATCGCAGCACGCCGTCGGCGAGGACTGTGAACCGGTATTTGTCGCCCTTCCTGCCCCCAACATATGGTGACGACTGGGCAGACGGTTGAGTATCGGCTTGGACCTGCATGCGGACCATGGTGACTCGCCAAAGCTCAACGACGCGGTAAGTCTGCCGGTGCTGGGGAGGCACTGTGATGGGGGATGGCGGGTGAAGCTCTCGATGAACAATCTTGGGCTTGCGATCGGAGCCCGATTTAAGCGATTGTTACACAGAACAAGCGTCAGGTCAACTTCTGAAGCCGTTATCGGAGGTCCAGCTTGACCGTGCGGAATATTGTCTCAAATAATAATACTCGACCATGCGGATATATGTATAGGCCACTCAAGCCAAGAAATGGAACCAACTTGACATTTGGATTTCTGTCTTGAGTAAAATGAGGCGTCAAGCTTCCCCGCAGCCACTTTGACACCAGGGGGCGGAGGACCTTGCATTCCTCGGTTTCAATGCAGCGCCGCTCCACGAGGAGGATTGCATTTACATTGGTAAGCCTGGAAATGTGAGCAACGAAGATGAGAATTGTAAATGGCAATGTTGGGCCAACTAGCCTCTTGGAGGGTTTGGTTATGGCCGGCAATGGGAACAATGTGCAACGAGACTACTGAGACACACATATCCGCAGTGTGCAATTCGTCTGCCACGCGTCGTGTGCATCATTGTAGCAGAACTTACAAGACATATACTGGCCATATATTAGATGATGCACTGATTATAGTTATGGATTCGTTTCCATAAATTTGAAGCGACACGTCTTTGGCCCTTCCGGGTCCTCAACGAATCTAATTGGCTGTACTGCTGCACAGCGGCCAAGATGTTGAGGCAAGGTGAAATATTCACCGAGCCAGAGACGATGCATTGGATGACAGGGGCGCGGAAGTCTTGGCAAATACTGAAGCAGTTGACGTTTTCTCAGGTTTGAATGGTGTTATGTGGGGCGCGTATTGCAATCTAACTTGGGAAGTGAAACCATGATTAAACATCCCACTCCGCCTCGTGGAAAGAAGTTCCAAGTTGCAGACTTCGTCCCTGTTAAGCTTCAATTCCTTGCAAACTCTCTCGCGAGCCGTCGTTAGTTCCAGTCCCAGATCCCCAGCTTTCCATTGTCTTGTACAACCTCCAAAATGACCCTAATTCAAGTGAATACCAACTCAACCCTCAACGGCCACAAGCTGCTCGCCATCACGCCCTGGCCATTCCCGCACGACTTTCTTGGCCATCTGCATGCTCGCTTTCCAGGTCTCTCCGTCGTCCTTTACAAGGCTCCCTTTGGCGAGGGAAACTGGAACGACATCCCAGAGGAGGACAAAAAGGACGTCACCATATTAGTAACCGGGACCTGTTTCCCGACGCTGGAGCAGGCCCCCAAGCTGCAATTTGTGCAGGTGCTGAGTGCGGGCGCAGATTTCGTCCTGGGCGCTCCGGCATTCAAGAATAGTAATATCCCGTTTTGCACAGCGAACGGGGTGCATGGGTGAGCGCGCCTTACTCGGGACCTGGGAGGTGTAGGCTGATGATGTGTTGTGATTAGACCTCAGATATCGGAGTGGGTGATTGGCACATTCTTGGCCCATAAGAAGAAGCGTGAGTCTGAGACCGAGGTCCCCTTTTGCATCCATGATGGCTGGGCTGGTTAACTTACATGGCGCAACCACCTAGTACCCCAATATCTGGAGTTGCAACACAATGCTCAATGGCGGAGGCTCAGCGAACCAGATGACACCGTGGGACAGCGTGTGTGAGTGGCCTCATCCCTTCTGCGCTCATCACTGGGATATTAACGAAAAAAATAAACCAGGGGAATCCTGGGATATGGCAGCATCGGCCGACAAGTAGCTCGCATCTGCAAAGCCATAGGCATGGATGTGCATGCATATACTCTGCATCCTCGCAAAACGCCAGAATCTCGCCGCGACGAGACCTACACACCCCCGGGGCTGGGTGACCCCGAGGGCATCTTCCCTAGTAAATGGTTCTCGGGCAGTTCCAAAAAAGAGCTCCATGACTTCCTGGATTCTGGTTTGGACCTGCTGGTCCTGTCAGCGCCGCTCACCAAAAGCACTGTCGGTCTCATATCGCACCAAGAGTTCAACATACTCGGTAAAAAGAAGGCATTCGTGTCTAATATTTCAAGAGGGCAGATGATAAACACGGATGCATTTGTTGAAGCACTCGAGGGGGAGGTCATTCGCGGTGCGGCCATTGATGTCACAGATCCAGAGCCCTTGCCCGACGGGCACAAGTTGTGGACGACCAAGAATTTGATCATCACGCCCCATGTAAGTGGAGCGACAACGGCGTACGCGAAGAGGTTTTTGGCGATTCTAGAGGACAATTTGGAAAGGTTCAGTCAGGGGAGAAAGTTGACGAATGAGGTCAGCAGAAAGGACGGCTATTAACATGGTACGTGTTTCAAATCTGGCAGTAACTGTTCGGAATTAATCAACATGCGCGATACAAGATGAAATGGCAAATCTTTTTCAGATATTCTTGGGCCGTAGCGCGTACTGAGCTTGTTCCCCTTTGCCCTGTTGCTTGCCGACCACGAGTTCCTTCAGCTCTGCCAACTCAACAGCGCCATACGTCTCGTCCAACAACTCCAGCACGCCCAGGGCCGTGACTTCTGAATCCCACCTATCGGCCGCGATGACGGCCTGACTGTCCGCCTCTCCAACCTCCAAGAACAGATGAACAATGTCCGCCCACCGAGCAGTACCGTCGGTATCGACGTCATAGTAGGCTATGAATCCTCGACGGCGAGCATCACGCAAGTGACGCAGCAACGCCAACCACGGCGTTCTTGGCGTGCGGGTCATGAAGTCTGCGTACTCGTGGTTCGGCCCAGGGTTAATACGACACCTGTTCCGGAGGAGGAACTCGACGAGCGCCGGGTCAGAGAGCGGAAAGATGGTCTTCATGCGAGAGCATGTAAACTCGGTTGCGTACGCCAACAGGGGCGTCGCGTCGTCTCGCTGCAACTCTTGCTGCTCCTTCGAAAGTCCCCGGCCTTGTGCCTTGCTGCGAGCAGCAACCTCTTCAGAGACGTAGCGCGCGAGGCCGAATTTGGTGGCGAGGCATAGAAACGGCTGCCATATCGGCGACGCCTTCATGCGCACCTCGTATGTGCCAAAGGCGTTTCTGGCCCAGTGGTCGTACGGGTCCTGAGGCTTGTCGAGCCAGTGCCAACTCAGTGTCTTGTCGAGCTCATTGACAAAGGACCGCTGCAGGCCGCTTGGGTCGTTGGCGATGTGCCGAGCGTGTGTCAGCGCGAGGGCGATGTCTGGCCACCACTCGTCCAACCTGCGGTGATGCTCGATTTCTTCCAGCGGTCTCTTGAGCCGGAGAACGTACGACCGCAGTAGACGCAGGTGAGGATCGAAATTCCGAGGCGACTGCGAAACTAGCCGGTCTTGAATCCCGGGTGCGGCCATGAGCCAGTCGCGGACTGTGCGGTGAATATAAGTCACTTTTTGAGCAGCGCCGACCCTGGCATCCCGTGTGGTGTCGTCTGAAAAGCGAGGCCTTGTCGAGTTTCCTTGTCGGGTAGGGTGATGCAGGTCCAATAGACGAGCGAATCGGTGTGTAACCTGCCGGACTGTGGTATCGCAGCGATGGTGTATGAACTGATCTTCTGCCTGCTCAACTTGCCATGCTGTCGTCGCTGGGTCATCCTCTTCCAACAGAGAAAATGCAAGTTCCCAAACTGTCAGCGAATTCGCGGAGTCGTCTCTTACAAAGTCGGCGACAAGCTCCCGGGCGCGGACAAGCTCGAAAATCATGGCGGTTTCCGCCAGTTCAGACTGGGCGCGGTCTTCAAAGAGCAGCTTGGCAAAGAGGTCGTCAAGATCAGTCGGAAGTCGCTCAAGTATGGACACTAAGCCATCTGCACCGGAGTCGGGTTTCCATCCGGCAATCAATTCATTCACAGCCAGCCTCACCCAGAGAAACACTCCGTCGGCGCGCTGAACGGCGTCGTCGACAATGGCTTCCCGCAACGCAGGGTGCTTCTTCAGCAATCGTCTTATTGGCATGTTTTCCAGCAGCTTGTCTGCAGTGTAGTTGAGCATATCGACATAGGTAAGATCCTGGAGCTGCATGTGCGGGACAGCGTGTTCGAATGCATTTTCGAAAACGGACCACGGACGAGAAGACAGACACATCTTGATGGAGTGTCCATGCTGGCCCATGCCGAGATGCTTGAAGAAGTTGATCATGGCTAGGTGGTCCCCGTCGAACTCGTCCAGACCATCCACAAAAAGGCAAATCTTCCTGCTGGGCAGGACAGCATCCATCAAGTTCTGGAAAGACGATAGTAAATCCTTAACTGGCCACTCGAGAGATAATTGTATGCGCTCCTTGGTATCCATAACGCGAAGTTTCTGCCATAGCTCGGGGAACGCATCCGGAATCAGCTCCCTGTTGCTTGATAGCAATTGGTGTAGGAGTGATCGTAGCAGGCCCGTCTGAGAACGCTGATCCCGCGATCCGCTGGTCCAGAAGAAGAATCCCGCCATGCATACATGTTGGCCGTTTGCCCAAGTCCCCAGGTATTCGCTGGTCAAGTCATGCTCGAACAGAAAGCGCATCAAGGTTGATTTTCCGGAACCAGGCTTGCCAGTGATCCAGTATATGGGACCAAGACCATCGCTGCAAAGCCAAGCCGTCAACTGATGTCCAAGTTGCTTGTTCGCGTTGTTGTATATCCAGTCAAAAGTGCTCCCGTGAGCTCCAACAACTTCCTCTTCTCTATCGTGCATGGTTTTGTACGCCAAACTTTCGAGGATGAAGTCGTATAACAGGCTTGTAGGGGCCAATTTCGGCTTTTCCTGCACCCTGGGCATTGGGACGTTTTGCTGTAATAACCCAACGGGACCATTTGCGACTTTGCTCTTTCGTGGCACTTTCATGACGCTCTTTTCGCTACAGCCCACTTTGGTCCCGTACACGTCACCTTCACCATCTCTTCGTTTCTCATCTGTGATGGGGCTCGCTTCTGGGCTGGGGTGTATTTTACAAGTCCTATTCATTGTGAGATTTCCTCCTAGTTGACAAAGACTCTTCCGACATGAACTTACTTGAAAGAGATGGCTGTGTCGGGATTACGGCCCACGAGTTGGTGCAGACGGTCTCCCAGCGCCTCGACGTCAACTCTTGGCCACGCCTCACGAAACGCAACTCGGGTCACGACATCTGTGCCAGCAAAATGGGCTCTTACGCGACTAAGCTTCAACAAGAGATCTTGGCCGACTTTGCGACATGCCCACGGAAGAGTGCCGCGGCATTGCCCATGTTTGGTAACGTGTTGATCAAGGGCAGCGACGATGCTGTTCAGCTTGATTGGCAGCGAGGTGAGGGACGCCAGAACCAAGACGTTACCGTTTCCTTGGTCAGGTTGATGTACAGAGACCAGGAAATGGTAAATGTCGACGGCGTGTTGGAGGAAGTCGGCAACAGCTGGGGGCTGTTTCAACTCTGGGGAGACTACAATTGTGCTGGCTGCTGCCATTTTATAGCATGTAATGGCGCAGGATGCGTTCAATTCATCTACAGTATGTATGTGTATATATGTAAGTATGAATAGCTTCGTGAGGCTGGATGGTGCCCTCGCTTCTGAGCTAGACTACTCGTTCAAAGGGCCTCTCAAAGACATGAAACAAGTGAGAGATGGAGAGCTCGCTCATGGCGGGCGGCTGAAGTATTATATACGGCCGCCAAAGCCCCACGTAATCTGACCGGACATTTTGTTTAGCGTAAGCTGCGGACATGGATCTTTTTCAGGTTGACTTGTTCCGTAACCAGTCTAGCGACGGGGTAATCTGGGGAATAACATTGAATCCAGGCAGACTCGCGACTCCAAAAGTGGAGGAACCTTCGATACTTGTGACGAGTTGTAACTCTGTCTCTGCCCTTGACACACACATGCCTGACTGGGCACCAACGCCGAATCAGACAAGTTACATATTTGGCCTGCAGCCATCATGCCGACTGACAGTGCAGAGGTTTTTAAGAAATGTTGAAAGAGGGAAGAATCGTGCTTAGGGAGGCGAGGGAAACATCATCCCTTAAACTAGAAACTTGAAAGCATAGAAGCGGCCTTGAGTCTCCAAATCGTCATCCTGCAGTCCTAATTCACGTCTAGACACCATCGGCATTCTACAGCATCTACATAAAATACACCATACGATATAAGAAATAAGAACATACCAGCATTTTAGGCCTTTTTTTCCCCAACACTTCGTGTACGTATTTTGCCATCTAGTCTCATCAGCCTCAACACCATCGCCAGGGCCCAAACCCCCATCTCCCACACCGACCTTGCACACATCCATCACATTGACAACAGCCAGCATCGGGTCCTGCACCCGCAGGATCATAAAAACACCATGCACAATGCTCTCCTCCTCCTCCTCCTCTCCCCCCTCGCAACAAGCACCGCGCCCCCAGTCGTCATCCACACCTGGGGCGGCCCCTTCACCGTCGCCGCCGACGCCGCACACGACGCCCTCACCAACGCCCGCTCCGTCCTGGACGCCGTCCAAATCGGCGGCGCCGCCTGCGAAAGCAACCAATGCGACGGCACAGTGGGCTACGGCGGCTCGCCCTCGGAGAACTGCGAGACCACCCTCGACGCCATGATCATGGACGGCAACACCCTCAACGTCGGCGCCGTAGGGGCCCTGCGCCGGGTCAAGCACGCCATAGCCGTCGCGAGACACGTCCTCGAATACACGGGCCACACCATGCTCGTCGGGGACTCTGCCACCCGCTTCGCCGCCCAGAACGGCTTCAAGGAGGAGGACCTGGCCACAGACCGGTCCCGCGACATGTGCGAACAGTGGAAGCGAAACCAGTGCCAGCCCAACTCATGGGTCGGCGTGGTTCCCGATCCCAAGAGCTCGTGCGGTCCCTACACCCCCTTGGAGAATGGCGCCTCAGAGACGGCGCCAGGCCAAGACGGAGGGGACATCAAGGGACGAGGCCATGATACGATTTCGCTCGTTGCTCTAGGCGAGGACGGCAGCATGGCCGCGGGGACCACTACAAACGGCAAAGCATACAAGATCCCGGGCAGGGTCGGCGACGGTCCCATCGCAGGCAGCGGCTCATACGTCGACAGTCTGGTTGGGGGCTGCGGCGCCACCGGTGACGGGGATCTCATGATGCGGTTTTTGCCGTGCTACCAGGCGGTGGAAAGCATGCGACGAGGCATGTCGCCGGCCGCCGCTGCCGAGGACGCCGTGCGCCGGATGGTCAAGAGGTTTCCTGACATCCAGGCCGGCGTGGTTGTCATGAACAACAAGGGAGAGCACGCTGCGGCGGCGAGCGGTTGGCATTTTACCTATTCGTTTCGCGGCCAAGGCATGAACAAGACGCACGTCGTTCAAGTCGACCCAATAAATGGGAATCGTAACATGTCAATAGAGTTATGATGCCATCCCAGAAATTCTACATATCGACATGTATAAATGAGGGCACTGTTAACTTATATTGGATGTTACAAATTGAGCAATGAATGCCTTCCCAACGCCAATTCTCTTCCCTCTAATGATCCATTACAGTCGATTCTAACGTCTTCCATAAATTCTTTCATGGTGAATTGAACAATACCGGAACGCCGCCCCCTTCGAGTTTCTATGCTCGGATTAACCTTGTCCACGCCTAAGCTAGCACATACTCAGCGTTGCTCTCATGTCTATCCTTGTTCTTAAATAGAGCCTTCAGCATATTGTCGCCCTGTCGCTGTGCCTTTGGCCGAAATACAAGGTCCATGTTGTTGCTTCGCCCATCCTCAATCATTCTGACTCCCCTTTCCCTTGGGCGATCTCGATTTTCTCTCTCCTTCCTGCTGGATCTATGCCTGCCCAATTCAGAGTCACCATTGATGCTCTCAACGGTGGGATTTCTGCTGCTTCGACGCTCCGGAACCTCTCTCTCTTTGTCTTTACTTGATGTCTTCTGTGATTTAGTCGTCTTTGATGACTTGGCCGTCTTTGAAGTCTTTGTGGTCTTTGTAGTTTTTGCAGTTTTAGTGCTTCGCGCCGCCGTGTGAGCGCTTCTGAATGAGCGAAGATCAAAATCATCCTTATGTTTTTCTCTCTGGGCACGCTCTGCCTCGGGGGTGATGAGCTCAATGTCGGCGCTTTCGTTGTCGACGCCAAAGGGCATGATGCCCCGCCTCCAGGTTTCAATGGTGCTCAGCTCCTCATCAACGATTAGCGCCTCATCAAAGCTGGCATTGTAATCGCTCTGCGTACGTAGCGGCGCAGGTCGATCCATGGGGGCGCTTTCATATGCAATGGCCTCCCGAGGGACTTGGGATTCCTTCACTCTCTGGACAATCTTCCACCCTCCGAACATGACGACCGTTAGACCGACGGCAATGCCAGTGCCAATGAGGAACTGGGGTGACGCGAGCAGGGCAAATACGGCGGGAGAGCCGCCTTTGAGGAAGCCAAGGAATGCAGGAGACATTTTCCCCACTACGGAGGACAACTCCGCGAGAGTGAGAGCGACTGCTGCAGCCGAGTCGGGTTTTTGCTGAAGATGCTTGATGATAGATGTTGCAGAGTGTTGCAAACAGTGCGCTTCATCCAAAAGACCCTCAACCTTGCGAACCAGCTGATTGGCCTTATGCTCTTCGCCCTGTGATGAAGGATCCAGGTCGACTCTATACTCCAAGTCCGGAGGAATGTTTCCATACGCCAAATTCATGTCGATCTCCTTGTCTTTAGGTTCGTCCCTTCTGGAGATTTGTGATTCAGACGCTCGCCGGAGGAGGGCAGACTGTCTCCAATCATCTTCGACAACACTCTTCATATCATATTGGGTAAGATTCATTCTTGACACCGCCATATCTTTAGGGAGTGTCTCGGCATAAGGACTGCGATATGTCATAGGAGGTCTGCTAGGTGTGGTGCTGGAGATCTCGCTCAGCGTCTTCAGATTGTTCTCGGTCAAAGCTGGCCGATTTCTTTCGCTGTGATGATAGTGCTTCGAGTGCGATCGGGACGTGTGATGACTCCTTCGGGAGCCTGCCTCACTATAGACGTCGAACGATTGTCGTCGACCATCGTATGATCCAGGATTCTTGCCGTAGTCATATTCTGTATAGTACTCTGGCTCATACACACTACGGCCGCTATGACTTCCATGCCCTCGTGGTCGTGAGTAGCCATCATGGCGGTATGGGATCTGAGACTGGTCGAAGGTTTCAGCTCGCTTCAATCCTCTAATCTCTGCTTTTTTCTCATCGTAAGATGCTTTTGCTTCCTTAAAGATGGAAAATAATTGCTTTCCCTGTGTCGAGTTAGATCAAAGCTGCCTCATAAAGGGTGCATATGTGTATTCCCCATGTACAGAGCGATATGCTTCATGAAATATGCTTCGGTTGTATTGGTGACCTACAGTGCTTATGATCTTGCCAGAGTTGTTGACAATCGTGATAGTTTGCTCGAGAGGCATGTTGTTGTAAGGGTGCTATTGCCCACCAGTTGGTCTTTCTCGCCTTGTCAAGATACCGCACGGCGTAGTCTTATAGAAATACAGTTCAAGGGTTCAGGAATGGCGGTAGAAGAGGCTGGTTATCGTCTGGAGTCCTGGCCGTCTTGACCCCACCTCGATAGTGTCGGTGAAGATCGCCCACAGAGTCGACCCTGGGAAGTAAATTGGAGTGCGAACCCACTGCTCTCCACCGTGGCACAGGAACCGACGCTGGTGTGTGTTATGTATTTGCGAAAATAAGTGTTGGATTGAGCCCGTCGACTTCACTCCCAGGATGGACTGGGGTTTTAATACAGGCTCCTGATCTAACAAAGACATGTCAAAGCCGTTCAAGTGGATCGACTGCTGCGCTTGTCCTGTGGTTGTGGCCTTGCTGTTCACCCTCACATCACCTCTACCACGGTCATGCTATTGGCTCCCGGCTGGTTCTTCTCGTCAGGCGCTGTTGCATGAAACGAGGGAAGCGCCCACTCCCACATGCTGCTGCAACTCGAGACGTGACAAGTGGTGAGGGTTATGTCCTATCACATTAGTCAAGGCTGCTGGCCCATCCAAGATGGGGTCTTGGATCGGTACAAAGTACCAGCTCGGGACCATGGCTTCTACTTCCGTACCCAGCCGATATACTTGGTGATTCTCCGCCGGCCTTGACCACAGTTGGTTCCGTTTTGGGTTTACCGTTTGGGGAGGCCTCTGTTCTCAGCTTGACTGGCCATTGCCAGGCTCTGAACTAGCGAATCGCGGGGCGTCCCGTCTCTCAATGGGCGGCTTCGGCCAGAAGAAATCGAAAACCGGCGCCACGGGGCTGAACCGACCAACCGTGAAAGGCTTTTCAGGGCACTGATTGTTGACTCTGTTCGACGCTGACGGATGGTGGCGATGCTGAAAGTGAACTTCGGCGCGGGGAGAACACACGGTGGCTGGCTGCCTCGCGTCGTCCACGTCCCCCTTCCAACCTGTTTTCCGAGCCCGAGTCAGCAAGCTTCATCCGTTCAGGATGGAATA